GAGATTCGGGGTTGGGTGGCGGAGAGGATTCAGGGGTGTATTTTTTGTGGTGATTTGCGGTGGCGCCGCCACTAGTGGCGGGTGGAGATAAGGGCAGCTTTTAGGGTTTTTGTTGGGCTGGGGTGAGAGAGATGAGAGACGAGGGGGTAGGGGTGAACATTTGGACAGTTATATATCAGAGGGGACTCAGTTCCGGACCGTCCGATCAATTAAGATCGACGGTCCTGATCAAGGAGTAACGAAAAACGACGTCGTTTGGTCATTGAGTGGTGCGGACCGGGTATGGGGTGATCTGGGCTGGATTTAACAGATTTAGACGGGTAAAATTGATTTGGGCTTGAGGGATTTTAACTTTTTGGCCCAAAAATCCGAATCTTCTCATTTCTTCTTCATTTTCTTTTAATTTCTTTTTTCCCTAATAAAAATAAAAACCTAAATTAAAATCTCAAAACTAGATTATCCTACCAAATTAAATTAATTAACTGTAAATAATAATTACCACAACTAATTAAGTGCCAAATTAAAAGAAAATTACCAAAATTCGAAATTAAACAGTAAAGAAGGCAAAAATAAGCTCTTTTTTTTGTGATTTTCCATTTTTATAAAACACTAATTTACTAATTAATCTAAAAATGTAAAATTTAATCCTAAATGCAATGCGTGATATTTTGGTATTTACAATGATTTAAATAAAACATAAACGTGCACAAAATGCAAACAATTAAATGAAATTCTACAAAATTCCTAAAATGGTAAGTAATTAACAAAAATCTATTTTCTTGGGATTTTATAGGAGTATTTCATAGGGCAAAAATCACGTGCTCACAAGAGCTTGTTGGAAGAACTTCACCAACCACAGAAGATGCTACAAAGATTTTTGTTGACAACAAATCGGCTATAGATTTAGCCAAGAACCCGGTAATTCATGAAAGAAGCAAGCATATCGATACGAGATATCATTTTATTAGAGATTGCATATCTAATAAAGTTGTGAAGCTTGAGCATGTGAAGTCTAGAGATCAAATTACGGATATTTTCACCAAGCCTTTGAAGATTGACGCTTTTCAAAAGTTAAGGATGGCGCTTGGAGTAATGAAACAAGTTTAAGGGGGGGATGTTAAAAATAGTAATAAACTTTTTTTCATTTGTCCACATTTATTTAGATTTTTTACATTAATTTAATGTTTTCATAATATAGTTAGAAAAGAGTGAGGTGTGGACATATGTGAATTTGTGTGAACTAGTGTAGGCATGTATGGACTAGTGTGTACATGTGTGAACTTAATTAATATGTACACATGAAGTTTATGTTAGATATATGTAGGAGTTCTACTATAAATACTCATGTATGCTAGACATTTGGTGCAAGTGAAGTTGAATAGAAATCATCCTTTCCTCCACCTCTCTAATAGTGAGTTTTTGAGTGTTTGTTTAATTGTCTTGCTCTCCCAAAAATTTCTAACAGAAGCACTTTAAATGGATATGAAGCTTTGAGGTTCAACTGAAAAGAGGTGGGGGACAATAAGGCTAGTTTAAAGAGCATAAATACACAAACCTAAAAGATTAATGACAATGCACTTCATTGATATGGTGATATCCATGTATATTAGCTTCCCTTGATAATTTAGTTGGGCCTGAATACACTGACAGCCCCTGAACTCGCCAACATTTAGACACTTCAACTAGAGTATGACCTATTGAACACATGATATTAGCTAAAATATATAAAATAGTTTTTCGTAGGTGTATGGCAAATGCCTCAGGAAATGACCTAATGGATGCAAATCCAAGCGCAAAGAAGAGTTTAATAGCCCATTTATAAGCAAATATCTGATCATTATGTCATGTGTGCCATAACTGTATCTCATCCGCACGCCATACCTTTTGTGCCAAAATTTTCAGTCTAACTCAAGTATCCATATACAAAAATATATGCATGTGTTCAAGGATTATAGATAAAAGATGCACAAGGACTAAATTAAAATCATATGGATATGTGCTCATGAAATTTCTATATGACTACAGATAATTCAAGTAATTCAATATATCCAGAATAAGTTCTCACGCCTTCATAAATAACCATAAACCTAGGCATGGTCTCGAAAATGTGTAAGAGAGCAAATGTAGACATATAAGCAAAACAAATTATAAATCAAATGACCATATAATCAAAACAAAACAAAGGCATAAAGTATCTCAATTCTATCCTGGTCAGGATGTAACATGGTAAGGGCATATACACTCGCCACCACGTATATACACCATTCCAATACCTTAAGCATAGAACAATCAAGTCAAATCCTAGGGGTTTCCCTCTTAACAAAGTTAGCCAAGAGACTTACCTTCGCCAGATAAGCTAAAAATCACCAAAGATGCCAAATCCTCAAAAGTTCAACTCCAAACTGCTTGAATCTACAACCCAACAACGTCAAATAAAGCCATGGAAATCGATCCCAAACGATAAAGTTCAAATCTTTAATCAAATAAACAAAGTCAACCAAACAAATCAATCATTCCCGCAAGTCGCAAAATTACAAACACACATATATAGAAAACATCAAATAGGGAACGAGACTCTAATATACAAAATGACCAACCGAGTCGTTACATAGCATATCTAAAAGTAAAATGCATTAGCAAAATCATGAGCCTCTAACTGATGCCTGAATATAAAAGTTAACACACATTTTCCTGGAATATATAAAAGCTCAAGAGGAAAATAATGCCTAAGAAGAGATCTGCTACCTCTGGAATAAATCAATAAAGCTTGTGAGCTGAATCGGGAAAGCCTACCTCTAGCCACGAGCTTCGTCAACTGCACACTTAACGCCTGCCACACAATGAGGCAGGCCCAAACTTGCTAAGTACCCCCAAAGGATATCAAGAATGTCTCGTTGATAACCCCTAAGCGGAACCCCTAAGCGGGGGGACAAGACTAGTATGGCTATATAAATATGTGATGAATGGAGTGAGTAGAGCAAACAATTCAAATAACAATAACTGAATACTCAAGCTGAAACTGATTCATTTAAACTGATAACCTTGCATCCAATAACTGAAAACAAAGCTGCAAGTTGATTCTAAAACTAATATTTGATTTTGAAACTACAAATTGAGTTACTTTTTCAAGAAACAACTTTTCTGAAAATTTTACACATAATGGCTCTACATAAGTATATTTGGGAAACCGTATTGGGACTTCTAAAGTTGATGTGGGTCCATTATTTATGCTCACTCAAGTTCAACCCATCGATGGGGTCATCGAGCGGCTCAATCAAGGTCAACCCATTTGTGGTGCATTGGTAGGGCCTCTGGTTATGTTAACCCAAGCTCAACTCATATGTGAGTCCATGGAGTAGCACAATCATGCTCAACCTATCCGTGCACGTTAACACCTGCAAGTATTGAGTAGCTAGCCCTAGCCAATGTGGCACTCATACTCGGGGAGATTGGTTACTTCTCCCTTTCTGTAGGATCTAAATGCACTAGGCCCTCGTGAATAAAGTGTAGACCAACTCACACACACTAGGCCCTCGTGGATAAAGTATCCACTAGACCAAGTTCTTTTTTCTGAATTTGAAGGAAAGTCCGAGCAACACAAGCAAGCAATCAGAGCATATCAAGAAAATAAATCATCTTCTATTCTAAATCTAAACTGAAGGTTTGAGTAGTACATGTAATTTTATTAATCAAACCACTGCACACAAGCAAATAATTGCAACAAGTCATACTATTTAAACTTTCGATGTCTTAGAGGTTTTCACTTGTATGTAGAGTTTATTCCAAAGAATGAGGTAAACAACCAGCAATTTGATATGCGTATTCTAATCTAGCCCTTGACTTAGAGAAGAACCCTCAATTTACCTCAAAGATCATTCCTTACTAGCAAGGTTAGTGTCACACCTCCTTTTTACCCGAAAGGTGGTATAAGGGAGTTTTTTAAATTAAAGTGACATTAATCGAAATAAGATTATTTTATTTAATTTTAGAGTCGCCACTTGGAATAATTTATGGTGTCCCAAGTCATCAGTTTATTTTAAATCTCAAATCGAGGAAATTGACTCTTAATTATGGTCTGCGAACACAGAAGACCAGGTAAGGAATTCTGTTAACCCGGGAGAAGGTGTTAGGCATTTTTGAATTCCGTGGTTTTAGCACGGTCGCTCAACTATTAATAATTGGCCTAATTATCTGATTAATTACATGTTTAGAACATATTGTGCATTTCTAACTTTATAACCATTTTTAATATTTATAGAATTATTTTTTGGAACAAGTCACGATTGTCGTATACTTGTCGTTTTGGTATACATTGCAAACCGCGTCACATAAAATGCACCCGCAATTTACAACATATTTATTGCATTATTATTCGAAGTTATAGTCGGGTCACATAAAATGCACACCCGGAATGGGGATTGGGTATCACGACCATACCATGGGAACCGTACCCATAGCCGTGATGATTATTATTAATCGCGCCTAAAGCAACTAGCGCATTTAATTATTTTCCTAATCTTTGAGATTGTTGTGATGCCAAATTTATGAACAAGATATTATTGGAGAGCAAATAGGCTAGCTAACATGATCTATTACTTGGTCAGATTCTTTATGGTCGAAGACCCACCTTATGGCCCATTCTTATTCCTCGCCAAGAAAGAAACAACTCCAATTTTTCCATCTACCCAATTAAAAGCATTTATTCAAGAACCAAGACTACATACATCACAATCGAAAAAAAAATTAATTAAAACAATTTAAATGAAAACTAAGACATGCTACTCAAATAACGTAGAATAAAAAATCAACCAACGCGCGCACCAAGCTATCATAACACAGTGAAATGAGAATGAAAATTGAGAAATGGACCTTTTATTGATGAACAAAACTGAAAATTGCAAATTAATCGGAATAACAAAGCGACAATCGTTGGACTGAAATGCCGAAATTGCGAACCGAAACCTTGAATCGGCACCGGAAACTCGAACACGGACAGAGAATTATCAATCTCAGAAGATGCTAATGAAACGACACCAGCCAGGCTCTCAAGTGCAATTCCTGCAGCAAATGTACTAGACTCGGGATCGTTGGAGCTATAGCGCCATCTTCCATCACTTTGGCTAAGAGCCTTTATGGCACGGAAAACGGAATCAGCACCTCCAAGGTGTACATCAACTTTAGAAGCTTGACCCTCGATAAGGACTAAACTTCCAACTGAGCCACCACTGTTCACGTTATCCTTAAGTCTAGAGGCTATACCAGCCAAAGCCTCATTGTTAAGCTCGCACTTCAATATCCTATTGACTCTCAATGCTTGAAACAAATCTTTCGATGCTGAAGATGGAGACCTAAGAGTATCCACCACTGATTTACATATAACCGCCTTGATGCCAGGCTGTTTTCCAGTTCCAAGAACCTCAAATGACCTTAAGGCCTTGTATGTCACTTCAAGGCTTTCAAAAGATCCATCTTTGGGTGTAAGCAAATCTAAAGCTGCAGATCGGTGAGAATCTGAAATGGGTTTGAAAATTGTAGTTTCACAGATCAATGTACACATCGCTGGAATAAAAAATCCTAAAACTTTCCCCATTTTGAGTCTGCGCCACAGTGATGAGAGTGAGGCTCCGGAGTTGAGCGAGAGATGAAGTTTTTTTTTTTCTTTTCCAGAAACGGTTGTTTCTCTTTTTAGTGTAGGAATTTTTGTCTTAGCTAGGTCTTGAAAATGTGTGGTAGGGAAGTGGGTGTTACGGTTTGTGCTTTAAAATTGGGTCATTTCTTTGGACTTCATCAATTAAGACCACACAAAATTATACTCATATTGCATACTCTTTCTTCTAAAACAAGACTAAAAATACTATATCATTTACTAATTAATTCTACTTAAGTAAAATAATTATTAAAATAAATTAACTGTTAAAACAAACTTATTTTTGGTATTTTTCAAATAGCATACTAAAAGATAAAAATAGAAAAATCATTGTAAAATTAAAATAATATTACTGAAAACAAAGTGGAACTATTTTTGTATATTTGAATTTTATGTAAGGTAGATAAATTAAAAGTAACTAGATAAAATATTAATTAGCTAAATAAAAGAAAATATTTTTGTAATTTTCATCTTTGTGATAAAATAAAGTAAAAGAGTCAAAACTATTTAGAATAGCGATACTAACCCTAAACTAAATATTTTACGCTAAAAATGTGTAAAATCTTGGGGAAGATCAAAAATTACATGTCCACAGCTGCCCCTCTTTGATTGGAAATACGAAGAGTTTTCAGACAAAGAACGTTGAGACTGGTTTTTTGACCCGATCCTTATTTAGATAGACCAAAAACTAAAAGAAAGGAGAATGTGACCGAGCCCTGGTATCTGAGCTGCCTACATATTCTTGTCTATAAAGGAATCGTACCACGTGTAGATCAGAGAATGATGGAGTAATGAATTCGAGAGTCGAATGAGGTTCCATCGAGGCTCCGGTCCGTGGTCATGTTATTACACCAAAAATCAAAATTAAAAAGGCTAACTAAGCCTATCAGCTACGAGTTACAAAATTCCTATCTATGAGTCTTCTGAAGTTTGATCTTAAGTCTTGGTTGGTTCTTCATGCGGACTCTGATCTGAATCTTGATGCTTGTTAGATGCAGTTGTTGGTTCAATCTTCTTCAGCTTTTTCAGATCAAGACGGTACATGCAGAGCTTGTGACTTCAATTATATCTTGAGCAGTCCATATCTTTTCTCCGCTTTTGCACTTTGGATTCACTTTTTTCCCTTTTATTCTTGATTGAGACTTCTTTTTGGTTATCTCGGACCCTTGTCGACCCGCATTCTTGAGGCGATCTTCTGCTACTTCTAACTTGAACAGGACTGGAGGTTGCCCTCATTTTTCAAAAAGGATCATGTTGTCTCTGACTGGAACTTGAAATAAATTCCCTCATTCTCCAGGTGGGCGACTGCTAATGACTTAAAACTAGAAATGAATTCCATCATTATCCAGGTGGGCGCCTACAACTGACTTAAGACTCGAATGAATTCCCTTGTTCTCCAGGTGGGTGCTTGCAACTGACTTAAAACTTGAATGAATTCCATTGTTCTTCAGGTAGGTGCTTGCAACTGACTTACAACTTGAAATGAATTCCATCATTCTCCAGATGGGTGCCTGATACTATAGCAAAAAAGACAAAATAAAAGAAATTTTTCTGCCCCAATTTGTACTAGGAAGATTTGGGAGTTGTTAGCAGAACTATAAACCACCTATGCTATTGATGAATGATGAAATGATAAAATGATGAGAGTAAAATTAAAGGCTCGACCAGGATGTGCGTCTCCTATGAGTAAAACCAAGAAAACATTGACTAGCAAATGTGTCTTCCAAAAAACGTGAATGACCCAGATTAGGAAATGCGTCTCCTAGATTTAAGATTGAGCTCGTGAAAAACTATAAACTAAGCTTGACTAAAGTAAAAATTTGCCCTATTTTCCAGACGGGACCCCTGATTTCAAGGAAACTAAAGATTGATACCTTTAAAAAAAATTAAAAATTGACCCCTTTTGTTTTCAAATCCAGACTTAAAATTATTATCCTAGGAGAAAATTAACCAGACTAGGTTTTAATCTTAGGAGAAAGATTCGTCAAACTAAGATTTTGATCCTAGGAGAAAGTTCATTAGACTAGGTCTCTTTTCTTTTTTTTGGTATCTTAGAAGAAAGATTCATCAGGCTAAGATTTCTATTCTGGGAGAAAGTTCATCAAACTAGGTCTCTTTTTTTGGTATCTTAGGAGAAAGATTCATCAAACTAAGATTTCGATCCTAGGAGAAAGTTCATTAGACTAGGTCTCTTTTCTTTTTTTTGGTATCTTAGGAGAAAGATTCATCAAACTAAGATTTCGATCCTAGGAGAAAGATTCATCAGACTAAGATTTCGATCCTAGGACAAAATTTATCAGACTAGGTCCCTTTTTTGTTATCTTAGGAGAAAGATTCATCAGACTAAGATTTCTATCCTAGGAAAAGAAATCAGACTAGGTTTTCTATCTTAGGAGAAAGATTCATCAGACTAAGATTTCTATCTGTCACGACCCTAAAACTGACTCGGTCGTGATGGTGCCTATCGTAAAACTAGGCCAGCCGACACAACTCCCAAATTTATCCATTGATCATTAAGAATCATTTTAAGCCTTTAATTAAACAGATGTTTAATAATGTAAGTCTATATGAATAGTGCAGAAATAATATACAAGACTAACATCTGGGTGTCACCAGTCACAAGCATCTAGTAAGGTCTGAATACAATGAAAAGTCTAAAAATATAATGAATACAGTCTAATGAAAACAAGAGGGAGAAAAGTTGTGCTGCGAACGCAGGGCAGCTACCTTGCTAAACTCCGATGACCCTGCCTCTGAGCAATCAACGCCCGTTAGCGGGATCAGAAATACTTGAATCTGCACACAAGGTGCAGGGAGTAATGTGAGTACTCTAACTCAGTAAGTAATAAAGGTAAATGAAAGCTGAGCAGTGACAAAACACGTAAAACACAGCGTAACACTACAGCAAATGTAGTACCTTAACAAAATAGTACAGAAATCATTTATTTCGTAAATAAAGCACAGTTTCCGTAAAACCTTTTTAAAACAACTTCCAATAGTTTCAAACGAGTGATAAAATAGTGAGTAAAAAGAATGAAAACATAAACAGCTGCTCGGGCAAAACATGTACCATAAACCACCCCTCAAGCATAATATCAACAGAACCAGCCTCTCGGCTACCTCATAATCACTCGTAATCAGCCCTTTGGGCATAACATAAATCAAGAACCTCCCCTTGGGCATAACATGGAACAACATCAGTCCCTCGGGCTATATCACATCTCATACTAGGTACCCGCACTCACTGGGGTGTACGGACTCCGGGAGGGGCCCCTTACGGCCCAAGCGCAATAACAAGTCATCTCGTGGCATAATAAATATATCACTTACTCAGGGTACCCACGCTTATTGGGGGTGTACAGACTCCGGGAGGGGCCCCTTACGGCCCAAGCGCAATATTAAGCCACCTCATGGCAAAATCAATAGGCTATTTGTCTCATATCAAGCCACCTTGTGGCGTACAACTCAGGCCTTCGACCTCATAATCATAAATCTGTGTATCACTGCTGTGGCATACAGCCTAACCCAAAAGTATCCTCACAACATAGTCCCTCAGCCTTACTCAGTCAGAAATCTCGAAAAGCCACTCGGGCACAGTAAAATATGATGCTCAGTCCAAAATATCATTTAATGTATTAAAACAGAGTAAACATGGCTGAGTTATTAAAACAGTAGAATATAACATGACTGAGTACAAATATAAAAATCAAAACAGTGAGGAACTAGCAGTAAAAGTCCCTTAAGGGTCCAAAACAGTTTGCACGAGGCCCAAATATGGAATTCAGCCCAAAACATGATGATAACAAACAGTTTTCAATCAAATAAGCAGTAAAATAGTCATTCAGGATAAACTAAGTTATAATCCCCAACGGTTCATGACCTCACGCTTTCCATCTAGCGTGTGCGCCACCTCAATATAGCACAACGATGTGAAATCCAGGGTTTCATACCCTCAGGATAGACATTTACAATCATTACTTACCTCAATCCGGTCCAACTCTAGCCCCCGATGCCCTTGCCTCTCGACTTGGCCTCCGAATGCTCCAAATCTTGCCAAAAGCAGATTTATACCATCAAAATATGCTAAGAGAACAATGCTCATTCGAAAATATCCAATTTATACCAAAAATCCGGAAATTGGCCAAACTCGGCCCCCTGGCCCATGTCTCGGAACTCGATAAAATTTATGCCAAAATGATCCTCATCCTCTCACGAGTCTATACATATCAAGAACACTAAAATCGGAGTTCAATTGACCCCTCAAATACCCATTTTAAGGTCTCTTAATCTCAAGCCCTAATTACCCATTTTGCACTGATTTTTCCCAAATTTTTCACCACTAATTAGACCTTTAATCACATATAAACGAGTTATGAAGTCAAGGATATTACCTCCAAGTGATTACCCTTTGGTTTCCTCAAAAATCTCCCTCAAAAGCTTCAATCCCAATCAAAAATAATGGAAAATAAAGAAGGGTCGCGGATTGGCTATTTAAACTACTGCCTAGTTATTTAACCCTACGCGGTCGCAGAAACACCTATGCGATCGCGACCAGCTCTATGCTATCGCATAGAGCAATTCCATCACCCCACTGCCACTCAAAGTCCTTCTACGCAAAGCCAAAGTGCATGTTTGAGCATCCGAAATACACCCGAGGCCCCCGGGACCTCAACCAAACCTACCAACATATCCCATGAGATCATTCAAACTTATTCGAACCCTCGAAACACCAAAAACAATGCAAAAACACCGAAATCACGTCAAATTCAAGCCTATGAACTTTGAAATTTCTAAATTCCACCAACGATGCCGAAACCATCCAAAACACCTCCTATTGACCCAAAAATTTGCACACATATCCAAAATGATATTACGAACCTGTTCCAACTTTCAGAATTCCATTTCGACCGCTATATCAAAATCTCACCTATCAACCGGAAAATGCCAAAATTCCAATTTCGCCAATTCAAGCCTAAATCTACTCCGGACCTCCAACACACATTCCGATCACGCTCCTAAGTCCCAAATCAGCTAATGGAGCTAACCAAA